TGGGATATATAGCAAGAACACATTACACAAACAATAACACACACACATAGTGTATGCTGCTTTGGAGGAGGCTTAGTGAGTAAAATGTTTGCAAAGCTGAGTGTGCATAGTGGCCCAAGGGTAACCCATTGCTTGAAAGGGAGAGACAGGCCATCCCTGGAGTAAGCTGGCTAGCTAGACTAACCAAATTGGCTGGGAATTCTGGGCTCAATTGAGAGATCTCACTCCATGGGAAAGTGATCAAGGAAGACACATCAACCTCTGACCTCCCATGTGTGTACATATACACACGTGAATATACATACTTGCAGATACTTGTGCACATGCAAAAATCCATTGTGATGCATGTGTGTGTGTGTGTGTGTGTGTGTTGAGACAGGGTTTCTCTATGTAACAGTCCTGGCTGTCCTGAAACTCATTCTGCACACCAGGCTGACCTCAAATTCAGAGAGATCCACCTCCCTCTGCCTCTCAAGTGTTGGGATTAAAGGCGTGCACCACCACCTTCCAGCTAGTGCATGTGTTTAAATGGGGGTGTTACAAAACTGTCTGCCTATTTTCTTTTTAAAAAGGTTTATTTTTCTTAATATATGAGTGTTTTGCCTGGTATCTATGTATGTGCCTGGTGCCCACAGAGATTAGACAAGAGTGTGAGATTCCCTGGAATTGAGTTAAGGATGGTCACAAACCATCATATGGGTCCTGGGAATAGAAACTGGGTCCTCTGAAAGAGTACAAGAAAAAAAGAAAGAATTGTCGAGCATAGCAAGTCTATTTATAATCAAAGCATGCAAGAGGATCGGGAGTTTAAGGTTGTCCTCAGTTATAGAGTAATTTTTTTTTTTTTTTTTTTTTTTTTTTTTGATGGCAGCCTGTGCTACTTGACACCCCACCTCAGAAAACCGAAAGAGGGTAGTGATCTGTCAGCCAGTGGGTAAAGGTGCTCTTGGCCAAGTTTGACAGCCTGAGTTCAATCCCCTGGACTGGTAGAAGGAGAGAACTGATTCCCACAAAGGCTCATACACCTCCACACACACAATAAATAAATGTAGATTTTATAGAGAAAAGAATAAACCTATCAGCTGCTTTGAAACAGGCAGCGCGAGAATTCTTTCCCAAAGGACTGGCCTTTCAGTACCACCTAGTGGACAGCAAAAAACAGCATAGGCTCTGATCCCAAAGGACCAGTCCTAAAATAGCTCACTTCCAAATCCTAGAACCTTTGCTACCTACACACAAGGGGTGATCACAAGGAAGGGAAAGTGTGGAGGACAACACAGCCTCAGGAATAGAAAAGGAAGCCAGCTTTCATCCCAGCACTCGGGAGGCAGAGGCAGGCGGATCTCTGTGAGTTCAAGGCCAGCCTGGTCTACAGAGCTAGTTCCAGGACAGGCTCCAAAGCCACCGAGAAACCCTGCCTTGAAAAATAAAAACAACAAAACAACAAAAAACAAAAGCAAAAAGAAAAGGAAGAAAAGAAAGAAAGGAAGGAAGGAAGGAAAAAAAGAAAGCCAGGAACTAATGTGCTTTTTCATAACCTGCCTACCTTTGGGGAACTAAGTAAGTAGGACCAGAGAATATACTCATCATTGGTCATAGCCATAGCTTTCAAAGTTCTATACGTACACACACATTACTTACAATATGTACACACGGGGGGGGGGGGGGGGGAGTGCATATTATGGGCTGGATTATACTCTTAACGTGATGATGGTATTTGGAAACAAGACCTTAAGGCAATAATTAGATTTAAAAGAGGCCATGAGATAGGATTTATCGAAGGGGATTCTCTCTAGGATGATAATCCCGGGAAGAGGGCAGCTACATGCAAGGTAAGATGATATGCCTTTCAGGACTGAAATACTGGTTCGTAACTTTCTCAACTGGTTTTGTAGGGGAAGTAGTTTCTCCTTTGTGTACTATTCTTGCTTGTTAACTTGATGCATTTGGGAAAAGGGAACCTCAATTGAGGAGTTGCCTGCTTCAGATTAGCCAATTGGAGGAGGAGGTCCTAGTTAGCTGTTCTCAAACTGTGAGTCTGAGACCCGTAAGCGGGGTCAAATGACCCTTTCACAGGGTCACTTAAGACTATGGGAAAACACAGATGTTTATTATGATTCATAACAGTAGCAAAATTACAGTCATGAAGTAGCAACGAAAATAATTCTATGGTTGGAGGTCACCACAACATGAGAAGCTGCATGGTCCCCATGGTGGAAGGGCTTCAGAAGAAACTTGTTGGAGATGCGTTACCAGACTCGAACCTTCTGAAACTGTAAGCCCCAAATGAACTCTTCTATAAGTTGCCTCTCAGTCATGTGGGCTCATCAAAGAAATTGAAAGGTAAAAGTAACTGAAACAAACAGCAATTGATTTTGCTTGCTACATTTAATTTTTTTTTTTTTTTCCTCCTTCCTTGGAGACAGGCTCTTAAGATGTAGCCCTGGCTGGCCTAGAACTTGCTAGGTAGACTGGGCTGACCTGAAACTCTTTAAGATCCTATCTGCCTCTAAGTCCTGAGTACCGGGGCTAAAGACATGCACCACCACCACACCTGGCTTCTATCTGGCTTTAATAGAGGATTTTTATCAGGACTGGATAAATGACTCACAGGTTAACAGCATACTGCTCTTGCAGAGGTCCTAGATTCCGTTACCAGCACCTACCTCAGACAGCTCATAATCACCCTATCTCCAACTCCAAGGAATCCTGCACCCTCTTCTGAAATCCACAGGGCCAGGTGAGTCAGGTGACATTTACTTATACAGACGCACGAGTATAAAAATAAATCCTTAAAAAAACGATTCATTTCCATTTTGAGGCAGAGTCTAAAGCAGCTGAAGATGTCCTTTATTTTTTAATTTTTCAGTCTTAAAGGGGTGTCAAGTTTATTGCTGAGACGAAACACCACGATCAAAACAAGTTGGGGAGGAAAGGGTTTGTTGGTTTTTTTGGCTTATACTTCCGTGTCACTGTTCATTACTGAAGGAAGTCAGGACAGGAACTCAGACAGGGCAGGATCCTGGAGGCAGGAGCTGATGCAGGTGCCATGGAGGATGCTGCTTACTGGCTTGCCCCTTGTGGCTTGCTAGGCCTGTTTTCTTATAGAACCTAGGAGCACCAGCCCAGGGATAGCACCGCCCAAAGGCACTCGGGAGGCAGAAGGATCTCTGGGAGTTCGAGGCCAGCCTGGTTTACAAAGTGAGTTTCAGGACAGCCAGGGCTACACAGAGAAACCCTGTCTCAAAGAACCAAATAATAAACAGCCATGGTCTCATGGAGGCATTTCTTGAGGTGCCCTCCTCTCAGATGACTTTAGCTTGTGCCAAGTTGACATAAAACTCTCCAGCATAGGGGACGGTCAGGTAGATCACTGCATCCAGGAACCCGGTCAAGTGGGTGTGTCTCCTGAGGAGAGACTATCTTTACTCTCTTAAAAGGGTCTCACATTAGCAGTGAAGCCTGAGGCATCGCCCAGAGTTAGGATGTCCTTTAGTCCCAATCTTCCTGCCTCTACTCTCAGCGTGCTGGGATACAGGTTTGAGCCATCTTGCCGCTTTACTGTTCTGGGAATTACATCTGGGGCTTCACACATACTAGGTGAGCCCTCTGCCATGTAACTTTATGCCCACCCCACCCTTCAGGAAGTCACAAGTATGATATGTATGTATGTCATACATGTATGATGTCAAGAGCCATGTATAAAGTAACTGTCAGGTTCCTACAACAGGGAACTCAGGCTTTTGGTCTCTTATTGGTCCCAGTCATGTATTTATTATTATTAGCTATGTTCTTTTCTATGCATGGTTCAAAGCCTTATTTCGTTGGATATTTGAGAATTTAAGTGTTAGGCTCTAGGAATATAGGAGCCCACAGCTGTACTCCCAGCACTGAGGAAGTAGATGCAGGAGGATCACAGCTCGGTCTACACAATGAATTCCAGTTTTGATCCAGCCAAGGTCACACAGAGATTCTGTCTCAAACTAACCAACCAGTTTAGGAGCTGGAGGAACTTACGGTCTGATGAGGCTGAGAACTAACCATACGTAAGATAGCACTGACAGTTACCATCACAGGCAGGGAAGACAGCTCAGCTGGTAAATTTACCCGAGGCCCTGAGTTCAGCCCTGGGGGTTGGGGAGGGGAGCTGGTCTGAGGATGCAGAGACTGACAGATGGATCCCTGGTGCTCACTAGCCAGTCAGCCTAGCGCAGTCAGTGAGCTCCAGGCCCCCCAAAAGCAAGGTGGATGGCTCTCTACATCTGTGTGCTATCACTGGCACACAGACATGTGCATACACACATGTTTAGGGTGAGGGGAACAGTAAGGGAAGGATCCCCAAAACCAAAGGCTAAGAAGGAGGCAAGGATTTAACAGGGTTGGTTTCTGTGGGACTTCTCCGTTCCTGAGAGCTGGGCATGGTTGAGGCCATCCCTTTCTCCCCACTAGGCAGCAGGGGCAAACAAGAAGGGTAAACAAGAATGAACGGCAGATCTTTTTATGTGTCTTGACACGCACCCTTACTTTGCCCCTGAGTCATCTTAGGCAGCACCCAAGGTGGAATTTCAGGAGGTACTCTAGGCATTGCAAGTGAATCACAATACTCTTCAGAAGCAGCGAGGAAGGCCCGACTCGTACATTAATATGTCAGGTTAATTTGGCTCTAAACGTCACTAGGTAACAACACTAACTTGTGTTTACTGAGGCCTAACTTTGTCTCGCCTTCTCTTTTGTTGAGATAGTGTTAGCCTGTAGCCCAGGTGTTGGCCTTGAAATGTTGTCGAGCCTGTATCTGCCTCCTGAGTACTAATATCGGCGTTTGCTACCAGGGCCGGCTGCGCTCAGAATTTAAAAAAAAATTAAGGGTCAGGAATGTAGACCAGTGGTAGAGCCACCATGTGCAAAGCCCCGGGTTCAATCCTTAGCACCATTAGAAATTTAAACGTGTTTTCTTTCACCAAATTGACAAGAGTTGAGAACAGAGCCAAAGCCCAACCACGTGTTGTCTACTTGAATTTATTCTTTCTTTAAAAAAAAAAAAAAAAAAAAAAAAAAGGTTGAGGATGGCCCGGGAAATAACTCATCAACACTGTGAACAGGAACGAAGACTCTAAGACTTGGGTTACTCCTGCACCCTCCACCTCACCTCTCTGACAGCCTCCCACCCCCCGCTTTTCTTTTCAACACGATACCCAGATCAGCAGCAGAGGTACCCAGGGTCGTCACCGAGAATCTCAACACTGGGAACGGGAGGGGGAAAGTCCAAGAATAGGAGCCGAGAAGAAAGAGGGGAGGGATGAAGGCGCGCCCAGGGCTCTGGAGGGCGGAGCTGGGCCACAGGCGGAAGTGAGCCAGTTTGGGGGTGCCCCGTCTGACTGCTGCGGCCCACACTTGTGGGCCCCAGAGCACCCCACGGTTTGTTCCGCGGTCCATTCCCCTGCTCCTGCAGCCTCACAGGCCCAGCTCTAAGTCCTCCAGCTCCTCCTGCAGGGCCCTCCGCCGGGCCAGCTTCTCCAGCTGCTCCCTGCTGGGCTGGCTGACCTCGCCGGCCTGGATCCGCTGCTGCAGCTCCTCCACCTGCCGCAGCTTCTTCCTGAGGCTCTTCATCTTCTTGGCTTTCTCTGTGGTGGCGGCAGAGTCGGATGCATCAGGGGCAGCTAGAGGGGCGGCCTGGGAGCCTTGGAGGGCGCTGGGTGTTTGGGCGGTGTCTCTCAGAGACGCCTTTTCAAGAGTCCTGCTCAGGGCCTCTGCTTCCTGCTGCTGCTGCCGCCTCTTCTCCTTCCGCTTCAGGTTGCGTTTGGCTGTCTTGGAGAGGCCAGCTTCCCCGCCTTCATGTCTGCATGGGGTGACAGGTGTGGTGGCCTCGGGGCTCAGCCCTGGAGGAAGTTCCGGTTTACTCTTGAAAAACTTGACATACTTGTTTTCATAGCTGCAGGAAACAGAGAGCTGGAGCTTCAAGGGTGCCCCTCCCCCCAGGCCCCACCTCACTTCCTTCCCATTTCCTCTGCCCTTCAGGTTCCCTGGTCTTTACGACAGTTCTAGAACTCAAAGCTCTGGCTCTTGGATTGCTGTCTAGAGGATCTGAAGAGGTCAAAGGGGCAACCCTCACTCACCCCTCAATCCCAGCTCCTTCCTCTCCATCCCGAGACCGTTGTCCCTCCTTCCATTTCCTGGGGGCTCAGGCGACTCATCCCTGAACTCGAAGGCACAATACGCTATACTTGTGTAGGGACCCCACTAAATACCCTCGTTAAGCCTAACCACGCACACTGGGACTTCCTCTTGGGGCACGTATCCTTCTTTGACCCTCCGTTGCTTGCGCCAGGTCCCGTCGGGTCTCTGTGTTGAGGCAATGTACTTGCCTGAAATGAGAGAAATTAAGTTGAAGTTAGTCTCTCTCGTTGTCATTTTCCACATTTTTATAAATAAATGTGCACAGCACCCCTGGCAACCATCTATCGTCCACCTAACGCAAGATAAGGGCTCACTATGTAGATCAAGTGAGCCTTGGATTTGAGTCCCCCCCGCCCCAGTGCCATGATTACAGGTATGTAACAACGTTCGTTCGGCTAAGGCATTATTTCTCACATCAACTTTCCATCCTCTGTCGCTGGCTGACTAACACACTATCCTTGCCCTCAGGGAGCTGCTGCTGCCTCTCTTTAAAATAACATACAAGACAGAGCAGGTAGAGATGAGATGGCATTCAAGAGTACAAGACAAAGGAAACGTCAACAGTAGTAAACGAACCAGATTACCAAGGGGCCAAAGCAAGAAGTAGCGGAGAAAAGAGCAGGGAAGAATGAAAGACTTTGAAAAAACAAAATTTTTAGGAAACCACCTTATAAAGTCATCAGTACAAAGGCCACTACTTTTTATTATTTTTGTGTATGTGTCTCCATGTGAGTGTGTGCATGTTCCTGTAGAGACCAAAAGAGGGTGTTGGATTATCTGGAGCTAGAGTTACAGACGGTAGTGAGCTGCCTGGTGTGGGTCTGGGAATTGAACTCAGATTCTTTGGGAAAGCAGCAAACGCGCTCTTAACCACTAAGCCATCTCTCCAGCCCCCATATGTTTAAATCTGCCAAAAGCTAAAAGCAATCTGACGGGCCAATGACACATGGCCTTGGTTCATATATATACAATGGCATACTATGCTGTTGGTAAAAAGAAAAAAGATATGAATTAATATTAGTAAATATTCAGCAGCGGCACTGACCGTGTTCATAATTTACTAAGTGGAAATGCTGTTCTTCATTAAATTCAGTAGTTGCCCCTTAAGCAACTGCCATCTCGATCAGCAATCAGCAGTTACAACTCCGGCTTCTTTAGTTTGCAGGCACCTGCATAGCCAGGCAAGAGGAATTCTATTCCCTCAGGCACTGGGTATCATAGAGGGAGCTTTATCTAGATCTCTATCCCCTACAGAACTCAGGATTCAAAGGTTGAGATCAAAATCTGCTCACTCAGAGGCTGCAGAGCAAATAGCTAACCTTCTCTCTTAGCTCACATCTTCTGGAAAACATGGCACCCTTTTGCTCAGCCCCCACTTAAGAACCCTTAGCGACACATGGATCCTCCCTACCACTTCCTGTCAGCTAGGGCTGACTCAACCTCCTGACCCCAGGGTTAATTTTATTTAGTCAAACAAATGTTAACATGTCTTTGCATCATTAAACAAATATTCCACAGCATAAACAAATCCAACACATCTTCAAATAATATTCTACAACATGGAAGTTGTGGTTCACACCATAACTCAAGCAGGAAAAAGCTCAAGACCAGCCCCATCAGCACACCAAGTTGAGGACAGCCCAGGACAGATGGATTATCTCAAACAAAACAAAAAAAGCCAAGTGTGGGTTGTGTGGAAGTTTTCAGCCTAAAGACCCATTTATACTTAGTTTGTTATAGTTTGCATTTCTTTATGCAACAGTAAGAAATCATATTTATTCCTTCAGAAAAATCTTTTCTTTTTTTTTTTTTTTTTTTTTTTTTTTTGGTTTTTCAGGGTAGCCATCCTGGAACTCATTCTGTAGACCAGGCTGGTCTTGAACTCAGTGATCCACCTGCCTCTGCCTCCTGAGTGCTGGGGTTAAAGTCATGTGCCATCACTGCCCTGCTCTTCTGAAAAATATTATTATTATTATTTGTAATTGTGTGTGTGGGCATATGAGTGCAGGTGCTTCTGGAGGCCAAAAGATGTAGATGGGGGAGGGGCTGGAGAGATGCTCAGAGGTTCAGAGCACTTGTTCTTGCAGAGGACTCAGGGTGGAGTCCCAGCACCCTCGGAAGCTCACAACCACCTGCAGCTCCACTTCCGGTAGATCTGACACCCTCTTCTGACCTCCACAGGCACGGGGCACATACATAGCACACAGACATACAAGCAAACAAAACATAAAACGTGCAAAAAGTCCTTCAATTCAATCTGGCACAATGAAGTAACTTATCACAAAAAAGTCAAACAAAGCACTGGAGATTGAGAAAGCCAGTTAGAAAAACAGACTGCAAAGACCTTAGCCTGACAGGACAGGCAGGGCTAACAGAGAAAACACAAGGATTCATTACGCTGGCTGGTTTCCTGGTAACTTGGCACAAACTAAAGTCATCTGAAAGGAGGGAACCTCAAGAAATGCCTCCAGGAGATCCAGCTAGAGGGCGTTTTCTTATTAGTGATGGATGGGGAGGGCCCAGCCCATGGCAGGCAGTGCCATCCCTGGGCTGATGGTCCTGGGTTCTATAAGACTAGGCTGTTCCAGACAGTAAGCAAGCGGCTCCCCTCCATGGCCCCTGCATCAGCCCCTGCAGAGCTCCTATCTCACTTCCTTCAATGATAAACAGTGATTTGGAAGTAAAAAAGCCCTTTCCTCCCCAACCTGCTTTTAGTCATGCCAGATAATCACCAAGCAATAACACGTAGGAATTCACTGTGAAGGGGAGAAGTTAGGGGTCAAATACACTTCACCTCTGGTTATCTAATCCCAACCTTAAGATTTTAGCATAAGAAAATAGTTCCCACTCCCAAAAAAGGCATTATAGGTAGCTAAATCAAAAATAAACTTTTATCCAATTTTACAAAAATAGAAAAATAATTTTAATTTTTTGGGGTGGGTTCCAGACAGGGTTTCTCCATGTGGCTACACTTTTAACTTCAAGCAAGGGCTTGGAGAGATGGCTCAGCGGTTGAGAGCACTGGCTGCTCCTCCAGAGGACCTGGGTTCAGTTCCCAGCACTCACACTGCAGCTAACAACTGCCTGCCAACTCCAGTTCCAGAGGACCCAATGCCCTCACACTGTATGCACACAGTTCATAGACAAACATAGACAAAACACCCATACACATTATTTTTAAAAATCTAAGCAAATCATTTAGAGGACTGGCAACTTCTGTGGGTATACACACTTCACCTTGCAAGATTGCCAGCCTGAGTTGGGTCTCCACAGTATACACAGCAGAAAGAACCACCAACTCTAAAAGTTGTCCTCAAATGAGGACTTGTTGGAGTGGAGGGCCAGAAAGAGAGTGAATGTGAGAGAGAGAGAGAGAGAGAGAGAGAGAGAGAGAGAGAGAGAGAGCGCATCAATATATACCAAACATTGCCCCTTACTTTTTTGTGTTTTGCTGCTAGGCGTGGTGGCACACATCTTTAATCCCAGCTTTTGGGAGGCAGAGGCAGGTGGATCTCTGAGTTCAAGACCAGCCTGGTCTACAGAGCGAGTTCCAGGACAGCCAGGGCTACACAGAGAAACCCTGTCTTAAAAAGTTAAACAAAAGAAAGCCCTTTACATTTAAACCTAAATGGCTTGGGAAATGATACTTACATAAGAGAGAATGAAGTTATTTTTATTTTGGTTTTGGCTCTGTGAGAGGATCTCTACCTACTTACCAAACACAGGTATTGAGTAACTCTTATACTATATTGTTTAGTGAATAATGACAAGAAAAAGTCTACATCTCTCATGTGGATTCGGTGTCTTGTTTTTCTTTTAAGAGATGGAAAGCTAAGTGTGGTGGCATATGCCTGTGACCCTGTACTTGAGAGACTGGGGCAAGAGAAGTGGATGGCACAGAGCCTGGGGACACTGGGGCGCACATTAACTACAAGGTTGACTTGTGCTCTATAGCAAGACACTGTCTTAAAAAATAAAAGTGACTAATGTGCTCACCACTACTGCAGAGAACCCACGCTCAGTTCCCGAACACAGGTCAGGCGGCTCAGGTGTAGCTACTCAAGCTCCAGATCCAACACCCTCTTCTGCACTTTGTAGGTAGACACACACACACACACACACACACACACACACACACACACACACACACACACACACACGGAGGAGGCTGTTGCCATGTTGCCAGAATTTCTGGGCTTAAGTGACCGACCTGCTTCATTCTCCGCAATGACCAGGACTGTAGGTACACACCTCACAGTTCTGAATATTTCCAGTACAGGGTTGGTTGAACTGGCAGGCACAAAACCCACGGTTACAAAGGAGTAAGGGGGCCATAAACTAAGAGTAGAAAAAGTAAAACTCAGCCACTGAATTGTGAGAAGACTTAAGACGGTTTATACAGTATCAAGAGGAAAAAGGAAATTTCATTTTGAATCTATAAACAGGGTCCAAAAACACTCAAGCTATGGAGAAGACATAATGAGAAGTGTGACAGAGGAGTTAATGAGGTGGTGTTCACACGTGTACTCTTATTTTTCACAACGTATCTGTTGGAAACGCATATGGTAATAACATTTATGCACACATGGATTTTAAACGTTTACTGAGTACTTGCTGCTGTGTCAGTCACTGAACAGGAGCTATAGATACCCTAATGAGTAAAGCAAGCAAATTCTTGCCTGCTTGTAGCACATACTCTAGCAAGAAAATAATAAAAGAAAATATAAACAAACCAATTACAGTAGCACATTAAATGCTGAAAACTGGGAGAATTAAAGCCACTAATAAAAGGAAAACAATTTTATGAAAATGGTTAATTCAACTTGATAAGCAATATTTTACTTAGAACCAAGGAGAAAGATTAAAAACTAGAAACACTATTTAACTGCATAGAGATTATAATACTACCCTTTTCTATGTAGACACATTCCAAGCTGTCCCAGTGGACACTTTAAACTGAAAGTAGCTAGGCATGGTGGCACACGCCTTTGATTCCAGCACTCAGGAGGCGGATCTCTGAGTTCCAGGCCAGCCTGGTCTAGAGAGGGAGTTCCAGAACAGCCAGGGACACACAGAGAAACCCTGTATGGAGGGGAGGTAAAGAGAGAGAGAAGTAGAACTGAACTCTGCACACAGGTTCAACATCCTTAATCCAAAAATCTAAAATCTGAGACGCCTCCAAGTCTGA